TGAGAATTCCGGTCTTCAGTGAGTCTTCCGATTCTTAGCTGACAAATCCGGATGAGTCATTTTCAGACTTCCGGGTGAGAAGGAGATCCGCGCTAGTCTTCCGATTTGGATGACTTAGACTTCAGCGGGTTGTAGCGAGACATCCGGTTCTTATGTAGTCTTCCGGATCAGAGGATTTTCGTTTGCTTGAGAAAATCCTTACTTGTCTCTGACATTTCCGAACAAGATATCCGATTTCCATATCACTGAATTTGATTAAGTCTTCAGGCATCAAAACGCTTAAAGAAATATCATAGCTTTTATTGGAAATCTCAAGTGCTCGGTTTTGACAGTATTTCTAAAAAGAAAAATTACATTGAATATTGGGGGAGTCCTAAAGTCCCTAATACATTCTAAATACATCATCATCAAAATCTATAATATTTTTCCCAACACGATCCGAGGCGGCTCGTAATCTATCCCGTATAATGCAGACCTTCTCTTCTGCCTCACGAATCAGGTCAGGTCCCTCCAGCTTGGTTTCACTCAATTCGGTCAAACAGACTGGAGTCCTACAGCGCCGATCGTACAGTGCCTCATACGGGGCCATCTGTATACTAGCCTGATAACTGTTGTTGTAGGCAAACTCCATCAACGGCACGTACTGTTCCCAACCGTCACCGAAATTGATTACACAGGCTCTCATCATGTCTTCCAAAATCTGAATCGTTCTCTCCGACTGGCCATCTGTCTAAGGATGGAATGCTGTGCTGAAGTTGAGCTTAGTGCCCAAGGCCTTCTAAAGACTCTTCCAAAACTGTGATGTGAAATGCGGGTCTCGATCCGAGATGATAGACACTGGCACTCCGTGAAGTCTCACAATCTCACGAACATATAGCTCAGCTAGCTTCTGCAAGGTAAAATCTCGTCTAATCGGGAGGAAGTGAGCTGATTTAGTCAGCCGATCTACTATGACCCATACTGCATCATTCTTCTTATTTGACAGGGGTAACCCTATTACAAAGTCAATCGTGATCTTCTCCCACTTCCACTCCGGAATAGCTGGCGGGTGTAGCATGCCACTTGGCACCTGATGCTCCGCCTTGACCTGCTGACAGGTCAGGAACTTAGCCGTAAACACCGAAATCTCTTGCTTCATCGTCGGCCACCAATAAGTCCTCTTGAGGTCTTGGTACATCTTGTTGCTGCCAGGGTGCATGGTGTACACGGTTCCGTGAGCTTCCCGTAGTAGCCGTTCTCTCACTTCACCGTTTGGTACCACCAAGCGATCCTTAAAGAGCAGCCCTCCATTGGCATCAATGGTGAAGTCTTGTCTCTCCCCCTTGGAGACAAGCTCACGAGTCTTCACACAAAAGTCATCCGTAGTCTGAGCTGTACGGATCTCACTATCCAATGTCGACTGAAGTCGTAACTCAGCCATAGTCTTCCGACTCAAGGCGTCAGCCACGACGTTGGCCTTGCCCGGGTGGTAGTCGATATAGCAGTCGTAATCCTTGATCAACTCCAACCACCTCCGTTGCCTCAAATTCAGTTCTTTCTAGGTTAGCAAGTACTTCAAACTCTTGTGATCCGTGTGGATGTAGGTAGTCTCACCAAATAGATAGTGTTGCCAAATCTTCAATGCGAATACCACTGCTGCCAACTCCAAATCATGCGTTGGATAGTTACTCTCGTGAGGTTTCAACTGTCGAGAGGCGTAGGCCACAACCTTACCCTCCTGCATAAGAACACACCCAAGTCCACTGTGCGATGCGTCACTGAAAACTGTGTAATCCTTGCCAGGCACTGGTTGCACCAGCACCGGTGCCTCCGTCAGGCACTTCTTGAGCTTCTCAAAACTCTGTTGACACGCGTCTGTCCATGCAAATTTCACTTCCTTCTTCAGTAGCCTGTTGAGCGGTGACGCTATGGACGAGAAGCCCTCCACAAAGCGCCGGTAGTAACCAGCCAAGCCGAGGAAGCTCCTCACCTCTCGCGCATTCCTCGGAGTCTTCCACTCCGTTATTGCTGATATTTTGCTAGGGTCCACCTTGATTCCCTCTTGGGAGATCACATGCCCAAGGAACGTGACCTCATCGAGCCAAAACTCACACTTTGACAGCTTGGCGTACAGCTTGTGTTCCCTTAGCACACCAAGTACTGTCTGCAAGTGTTTCGCATGCTCTTCTGGTGTCCTAGAATACACCAAGATGTCGTCGATGAACACTACTACGAACTGGTCTAGGTAAGGACGGAAGACGCTGTTCATCAGGTCCATGAAGATCGCCGGGGCATTCGTCAGCCCGAACGGCATCACCGTGAACTCGTAATGCCCGTAGCGCGTTCAGAAGGCCGTCTTTGGTATTTCTTCCTTCTTCACGGGGATCTGATGATACCCTGACCGAAGGTCTATCTTTGAGAACACTATAGCTCCTCTGAGCTGATCAAACAAATCGTCAATCCGCGGTAATGGGTAGCGGTTTTTGACTGTAGCCTTGTTCAACTGCCTGTAGTCAATACACAACCTCATGGACCCATCCTTCTTCTTGACAAAGAGAACTGGCGCTCCCCATGGGGACACGCTCGGCCTGATGAATCCCTTGTCTAGCAGTTCTTGCAACTGAGCCTTCAGCTCCTTCATCTCCGCCGGTGCCACGCGGTATGGCGTAGCAGAGATTGGCTCCGTTCGAGGAACCAGATCAATCGAAAACTCCACTTCCCTTGGCGGTGGCAGGCCAGGGAGATCGTCGGGAAACACATCGGGGAAGTCACACACTGTAGGGATATCCTTCTGTTCGGGGGTCTCCTTCCTAGTGTCCCGAACGTGGCACAAGAATGCCTCACATTTCTTCCGAATCAACCGCTTCGCTTGCATGTAAGACATAAATTCTGGAGGCTTAGGGAACAACTCTCCCTTGACTTCTACCACATCACCATCGTCAGTCTTCAGCCGTACGGTGCGCAAACCACAGTCAATTATCGCCTGATGCTCAGTCAACCAATCCATAGCAAGGATAATATCGAATTCCTTGTACGGTAACTCGATCAGATTTGCGGACAACCGGTGTCTGTGGGCCGTCAACGGACAGTTGCGGTACAGATGATGAAGTCGCATGCTATGCCCTAACGGATTAGATACTATCATAGGGTATTCTAGATCACCCCTCTAGATATCAGATTTCTCAGGCATAAGGACACATATGTAAGACAACGTAGATCCTGGGTCAATTAATGCAAGCATAAGAGTGTCGAATAGTGAAAACATACCCAAGATGACGTCGCGGTTCACTTCGGTACGTCCCTGCATGGCGTAGGTGCGTGCAGGCACATGTCCCTGCTGGCGGTTCTGGTTCTGGTTCTGTCCTCTTGGCGGGTTTGAGCCCGCGGTAGACCTCTGGCTCTGCGCTGGCCTCTGACTCGCTGTCGGTGTCTACGTCTCGGTTACAGGGAAGGCACACCCGGGGTTAGTTGGGCAATCCTTGCGGAAGTGTCCCTCCTTTCCGCATCCCATGCATAAGCCCTGCGCGAACCAGCATTCACCAGGGTGGTTTTTCCCACACTGATTGCACACTGGGTACTTGGAAGGTTTGCTTCGGTTGCTCGCTGCCTGTGATTGAGCCGGCGCAGACTTGGTCTTCTTGAAGTTCTGGGTACCCTTAGTACTGCCAAAGGATCTCTTCCCGCTCGGTGCCGCGCTGGTAGTGGGTCGTTGACAAGTAGCTGTCCATCCAGCACCCACGCTTGCCTTCAGGTCGTCCACTGCTTTCTCCGCCTTAGCCATCAGGTCATAAGCCGCTGAGAAATCGGTGGTGACCACGGTAGAAACATAAGGTCGCACATCAGGGCGCAATCTCTTCCTGAACTCTTCAATTCTGTCAGTAGGTGTTGACACCAACGTGGGTGCAAACTGAGCCAAATGATCAAACTTCTGTCGTAGCTCGGCGAGGGTCATGTCCCCCTATACCAACTCCATGAACTCTGACCGCTTCTCCTCTCGGAAGCGAGCTGGGATATACTCCTTCTTGAAAGCCCAGTCGAAATATGCCCATGTCCAGGGCTTCGGCGTCTGCGGCTCGCTAACGACGCGCTTCCACCACACGTACGCTCCCTTGCGGAGTAGCAGAGATGCCAACTTTGGATGATCCGCAACCGGTACATCCAGGTCGTTGAGCACCCTAGCCACCTGCTCAATCCAATCAAGAGCCACTTGAGGTTCAGCCACTCTATCCCCAAGGAACTCCTCCGCTCCGTTGTCCTTCAGCGTTTTGAAGGTGATGTGTCGCCGCGGTGGCTGAGGCTGCTGGAACATCGGCGCGTTGGCCATCTGTTGTAGGATCTGCGTCATGAAGGCAGGCATGACATTCTCAGGCGGATTCCCGAAATTCTGGTTTTCCCCCGCGTTCAGTGGCACATTGGGCTGCCCAGCATTCTGCGGAGGCACGAAGCTGGATGCCTCCGTCTCGGCATCGTTGTGATCATCACCCACTTGCTGGGTGTTGTCATGAGCGTGCGTCGATGCGTTACTCATTCTAAATCTACACATAAATACCTAGTCAGTTATTAACACATAACAGTCAAGGGTATAAACTTATTACCTTCCCGAGGTTGATGAGTCGCAAGAGATGTGGTGCAGCTTTTGGAAACCATTTATTTATGATCCGAAGATCGGTTTGAAAACCATATGCTCTGATACCAAAATGTAACACCCCAACCCGCATAACCCGAATAAATGGGTTAGCGACCGGGTTGCTACTAAATTGGTAGTCATACGCATTAATTTTCCAAAACAATTTAAAACATTTAAATTCAAATAGTATTTAATTATCCATCAGAGTAAATCCAAACGGTTGCGGAAGCTAAATTCATAATCCAAAACACAACTTGGGAATCATGCCCGAAACAGTAATAAGTTAATTCAAGAAATAAATAAGAGTTCAAAATCGTCGAACACTGTCACGCACATCTCAGCCTCCTCATCGCCCTCCGGGATTGGCTCCAAGCTCATCATTTCCTGGATTACCTACGTGTAGCAAACAGGAAAAAGGCTACACGCTCAGCATTGAAGCTAAGTGAGATATATCTAACATACAGCTATACCCATAGGCGATCCCACTAGCCCATATCACCATACGATATCATGCACACAACATGCTCAACATATTCACATATCATACAAAATATAACAGTTGTAATAAACATCAACGTTAAAGAATAACAGGTCACAAGGATACAATGATAACTTCTCAATTTTCCTCTGCCCTATGCTCTTTTCGGTACTCGGCTCTTAACCTAGACTAGGTAAAAGCTCAACTGATTACAACTTGCCTATGGAGTCATGACCTTCCCCTTCGGAACGAAGGTCAAGCTCAACCAACTCGGGAGTTCCTCGTTGGGTGGGTGAGATCCCTGTCCCCTTCGGAACGACAGTTCTTAGATCCCCGTGTACACGTTTTTACCCGGACAACCATTGGACCCAGCAGGTACCACATGGCTCCAACTAACTGTACTTATGGCATACCTTGCCACTAATCCATTCAGGTCATTTCCTAGAGTTCTTCTAGGCAATATATCCAACATTCATTAATCAATACATAATACAACATTCATAAATCCACAATACATTTAACAAGATATCCAACATCATCAATTAGCGGCCTAACACTGGGTGTAGACACCCATGTTTACCGTCATGCAACACACAAGGTCTCGGAATCAATCCTTGACGCAACCAACAAAATTCAGCCCGGTTCAGGTACCTCACGGTACCCCCTGGCGGTAGGGGTTACCGCCCCCACGGCACCAGGGTACCGTCAGAAAAGAACGAAGCCGGGGAAGCTGGCGGTAGCCAGATACCGTGTCAACGGTACCTCCCTACTGTCGCGGCGAACACCAGACCTGCACCAGTTCTGTTTTCGTCCCTTTTTGCAGCAACCACGCCATGAAAAACAAGCATAACAGTTCATAATACACTAACCTAGCATTCCATAACCTATGCTCAATCATTCTAACACAACCCATGTCTTTCAAACCGTAAACAACAACACAAAAGCTAATTCACATATAATCCACATAAATCAATCGTAATGATTCCATGAACGTAAGATTCAAACCTACGAATATAATCCATACGTTAGATGACCACGTTCTCACCTTGAATTCGATGATTAAACTACGATATGGTACTCACGAACGACGGCGTCGAACTCTTCTTCTTTCCTCTCTTCTTCTCTTCTTCTCCTTCTTCTCTTCTTCTCCTTCGTGCGTCGCTGCTGCCTTGATCGAGAGAAACGAGAGACGTGAGAGAGTGGGGAGGAGGTTACGTGAATGTGGTGAGGCGTAGGGGTTTAGGACGTGTGAGGGGTGTATTTATACTTTTGGGGTTTTGGGCTCCGTTTTAACTAAACGTACCTGGCCCAAATGTACTTTCCGGCCCTACTAACTCCAAATTCGAATCCGATTTCACCGGTAGACTCGATCCGTCGAACCCTACATAACGGTATAATTTTAAATATTAAACGAAAGGTATATTTAATTCCCACCGGGTCCGTCTCAGTTATTAATTAATTATCTCCAATTAATTAATTCTGATAGGCCGGGTTTCGGGGCGTTACAAGTAGTCCATGTATTCGGGTTGTGCGAGTCAAGGTGCTATATCTACGATCCAGAATTGCCGAGAATCTGTGAATGAGCGCTATCTTATCTCTTCACTCTTTCTATTTTTTATCCTTTAATTAATCTTAAATCCAATTAAGTGACTTTGGGTCCACGTTTGCCCAATTGGGTATCTACTTGACCCAATTCTTACCCAATTACACCCTAAAACTCACCCTTGTGTATATTTTAACATTTTTATGCACAAAAAGAATCTTTTAAGTATAAAAGTAATTTAAGACTTAAAACTAATATTTGTAAAATTCTTTTATATACAAGTATTTTTCTATAAAAAAGTATTTAAAAATAGCACTTTAAAAGTATTAAAAATCCAACTTTTCAAACTCTAACAAATCCCCCACACTTATCTTTTACCCGCCCTCGGACAAAATCAATAAAAGAACAAAGGAAAGAATAAATAACTTTTAACAAGGGTCTCTTTGGACAACCTAACAAATACGTATGTTTCACTTTTTCTATCTAAAAAAGGTCATTTTATGAACATATTCTTATCCTCAACCATCAAAATATACTATTTATTCAAGTTTACTAAAAATAAAGTTTAATGGACTTATTAGTTTTTTTATTTAGTTGTTAGCAGTTTTGGCCCCATAGCCCGTTTTTGGTAAAAACTACTAAGACCCAGTTCTTTTTACCAAATCGAAAATGTCTCCAATATTTGAGCTACAACTACTATGCTCTCTATTTTAATGGGTTAATCCAAGCTATTTCGATGACAGATTCCAAGACCAAGGCATTTGGGAATAACTCGGGGTGCCCTTTCGTCGGCTCACTTATGCCACCTCTAACAACCCAAGTGTGACCAATCCTACTTTGACTTAACGGGTGCAACAATACGTTTTTTGCTATGTCTTTTTGCCTCGTGATTTGAATCGCAGTGTTGTGAACAATGACGATATTCGCTTGTTTCAGGTCCTTTTGAACAGCATCAAAATTGATTGGGTTCACTATTTTCTCATTGCTCTTCGTGGTGGCTCATGATTCATCACCTTTGTTTTGCCATCCCAATCATTCTCATTCTTCTCCGTTTTGAAGTGGACTTCTCTCGGGACATCCGGGTTCTGGTGAAAAGACATGTTTCATCAAGGAGACAAAGTTCACTTGCATTGTTTTCCGATCCGAAGGTGAAGTACTGCGACCTCGAGATATCAAACTAGAGCAGGATGAGAGCATGCAAGAGAGCCAAGCCGAAGCATCCAACATGCCGAGTCATGCCGAGGAAGGTACAAGTCGTTCCACCGTTTGAGAAGCTCATCGCCGACATCCACGTTCAAGAGAAGATGAGCCCTAGCCGTCATGGTCACGAATATTTTGGACGCCATCACTTGTGTTCTTGATGACGTTAGACAGCCCCCTGAATGCGTCACTTTAGCTTGAGCAACATCACTTCTCACGCTCCTATCGTGGCCCCCGTCATAGCACGCCCAGTTGACTTCGAGCATATCTCTTTAATGATATCTTGTTATTAACTACTCCGTATTATTTACTATGAATGTTATCTATTGTTTTTTTATGACATTTAATACTGAATGCTTATGGTCATTTCTTATTTATGCATTGAGATGTTTGTTGGTTTGACAATATTTTCCTTTCTAAACAAATTGTCCCTTTGGCATAATTGGTCTTAGTTCCTCTTTTAAAGGAAATTATTGCAAATTTTTACAGGGTTTTTGCTTCTATCCTCTTCTCCTAAACCTTTCATGGTTTGAGGGGAAAGCTCTCTTTTGATAATGTCAAAAGGGGGGAGGATAGTTGAGAATCGTTTTCCGCTTTCATCTCCGATGTTCTCACTTCCTTTTGTGTAGAGGGAATCCATTACCATAATGAAATACAATTTTGAAAGTTATCAATACGATAAATCTAATAAAGTCATTTTTATGTTAAAATACATTACGATTTTTATTTAATTGAAGTTCAAAGTTTGTCCAGTTTGACTCAAAAAAAGTCAAACTGGACAAATACACTGATACGAAGGAAGTATAAACTATTATATTACCATTTCACTAAAAGATCGAATTAAGACACCCCTGGTCTTGAAATAAATGAGACAAAGTAGGATGACTGAGTCTGTAACCATTGTGATCTGTTTTCAGATAACGAGTTCGTAACTCTAGCATATTCCAAACAACATTGCTCCAAAACAACATAAAATTGGGATCATTTTGCCTCATACACTAGAACCCCGCCACTAAATAATCCTCACTCACAAGGCGTCGTTTGGAAACAACGTTTTTGACCGTAATTAGCTATTTGAGTAAAACGTTAGTAGTGTATTCCCTTCGTCTAAAACTTTTTTCCTAGTTACCATTCACGAAGTTAAATTTTAATCACTTTCTTCATACATTTTCTTTCATTATTTGATAAAATAATAGAGTCATGTCACTTTTGTTTTGTAGAACTTTTGATGTGCTTTTTAAATATATAATTTTTATTTTTTTTGATTTTACACTTACCACTAAATAAACTGAACTGAATATAAATGTAATCAAAGTTCACAAAATCAAACTCAGAAGAAGAATAAAAACGGAAGGAGTAATTTAAAACACTAATGCTAAAGGTCAGTGTTAGGGCAATTTCTATGGTGGATCTAAGGTCTATCATTAACCTATAGATAAGTAAAATAAGTATTTTTTACTACTTAAATAAGAATTTATTTTTTCAAATAAAAAATAAAAAATTATGTGAGAAAATCCAAAAGATTGATATGCACCTAAAGTACACCAAAGAAGCAATTTGGCGTTAGATAACGACCGTGTTTGGAAAACAGCATTTCGGATAGCTTTTGGTATCTTTGGCTGACTTTGGCTCTTTTGACCAAGCGAACCGCCAAAATCATTGTTTGGCTAATGGCTTTTTCACTTGGCATTTTGATTCGAAAAGCCAAAATCTAAAATGCCAAGGGAGTAGCATTTGGACTTGGCGGTTAAGAAAAATAATTTTTTTAAAATCATTTTTATTGAAAGATATTTTATAATATATGTAAAAAAATTAAATACTAAAAAAAATAAAATTTAAAATTTAAAATTTAAAAATGTCAAAAAATGAAATTAGAAAATAAAAAGTAAAAATCATTAAAAAAATTTATATTAATAATTTATTATGAATTAAATGAAATTAAAGTTTAATACTCCATACAGTAAAGATTTAATTTTTACATGTAAAAAAATGAAAAATAAATATCGTGTGTGTGTGTCTATATATATAGATGTACAAACACAGATATATATATATATATATATATATATATATATATATATATATATACACATACATACATACATACATACATACATACATACATACATACATACATACACACACACACACACATATATATATATATATATATATGAAAAACTATTTTCAAACAGTTAATTTTACCAAACATTTTTAACGATCAGCCAATTCATTCTGCCAGTCAAACCAGCTAAACTAAACAATCATTCACAACAGCTGACACAAACTACCAACAGCTGACAGCCAACATTCAAAAATTCAAACAAGGCCAGCATCTTTAAAACATTAGCATTAATCTCGGTTACCATTTTTACCAAACAGGCCTTTATCAGCCCATCAGCCACCGCATTGGATTCTGATTACTTCGAATAACACTGAACATGGGAAGTGGTCCCCGTGCCGACACTCATCAATCATGCCAGGCTTGCAAAAGGAAAAAATACAATGGCTCTGTTTTTAACATATTGGAAAAAATTTGAAACACTGTATGCACACCGGGGTACTAATCAAATTCCCTGTCCAATTCTATTCTATTCCAGCTTTGAACGTTTTTATCATACAATCGGGAAATAAACAAATGGCTATACCCAGGAGATTTTCCTTTTTTTTTACTTTTTAATTTTTTTTAAAAAAATAAAGGAACCTAAGAAGAAAGTGGAACGTGGGATTGAATTGAATAATAATAAGAGTTTTAATAAAATAAAATGGGATAATATGTGGGCTTTAGTTTTTCATTGTCGTGTCTTCTGGAGCCCATGCCCAATTGTTTTGAGTTCGAACCTTTTCACGACGCCGGCGGCGTCCCGCATTGTGGTGTCTAGAACATACGGCGTCCCGTCGACGGTGAGACTGGTGGCGTTGACAAGCTGCCGGCATGGCTCCCGCCGCTGGGCGATTGTCCCGTGGTAATGGAAGTACATAATCTGCCCCTCCGTCTTGTGCGTCGTCTTCCCCACCGTGTTCTGCGACATGTGCACCCCCGTCGCGAACACGCTGCGCGGCTGCACTGCGTACTTCCGGTCCCGTCGTATCCCCTTCTTCACGTCCTTGTACACCAGCTTCTCGAATCCCCATTTTCTGTTCACAAATTCATGCTTAAATTATTTCGATCGAATCGATTTTCTTAATTGGCCACAGAGATCTGATCTGATAATGGAAACGGAGATGGAGCTAATTAAACAACGCACCTGTAAGTTTTCCCGAAATCCTCGCGGAGACAGAGTTTGTTAGACATGGGCATTTGCTCGATTGTGAACTGAGTGTGATCGGAGAGGGAGGCGAGAACAGATTTGAGAGTGCTTTTCTTCGGGACGAAGATGAACTCGTCGACGTCGAAGAAGAACATCCATTTCGCGTGGAATCTGTACCGGTGCAAGCAATCGTTGACGATCAGGAATTGATTGTGGTAGTACCCATCGAATCTCTCTTGATCTCTGATGTCCTGTAACGTCACGTAGCCTCTCTCCATCCACGGCTTCAGGACCTCCATCACCGCAGGGTGCACTCCGCCGGCGTCGTGGATCACGAAATGGGACTTCTCGCCCAGCATTCTGACGTGGTACGCCAGCCATTCCCGGACTCTCTGTGGGCTCAGATCTCCGTACAGGGAGGACCCGCAGTAGAGGTAGTCGTATTTCGGCGGAGACTGGAAGACTCTGGTGAATCTGGAGAAATCCTGGGGCTTCTCCACGATGGCCTCGAAAGTGTCGGTGGTGTTGAGGTTGGCGTCGCCGGCGCCGTTCGTGGTGGCGTGGACGAGCAGCGTCCCTCCCCTGTCGGCGTCACCTACGGGAACCGGAAATGTGCAATTGACCACTACCACGGTGTAGACCCGGCCGTAACCCCAGTCCGGGAGGATCTTCTGGCCCGCAACCAAGAGGGAATCTTGCGATTTGTCCGCCGGAACCCACTCGCACTCGTAATTCGGCTTCCCAAACACATGAAGAGGCTTGGAAGCTAAACCCATGACGGCGAACGTGTTGTGGCCGCCCCTGTAAGCCGACATCAAGACGAAGTTGTAAGCGGCAGAGCCGAATCCGTTGAAAGCCCGCTTGACGACGCCGTTTTCCAGGACCCGATCTCGCTCCACCGTCTGCAATTCCGCGCCGGAGGAATTCGAGGGAGACCGGGTGGCGGCGGCGGCGGCGAGAGACGCCGCCGGGTTGGAGAGGCAAGAGCGGAGATCTGCAGCGGAGGAGAAACTAACGCGAGCAGGGATGAACTGAAGAACAGTAATAATGGAGAAGAGGAAGACGAGAGCGGTGAGGAGGATCTTAAGCTCCGCCGCGCAATTCCACACCACCCCAACAAACATCTTCCTCTCGCCGGTAACGGCGGCGCCACCTTTCTCCCTATCCTTCTCTTTGAACAACATCCTAGCTAGAAATCCCAGAAATTAAATAAGAAAATAAGCAGATTTATCCTTCTACCGCTAGAAAATAAGCAGAAAGAGGAGAGGCCACGTAGAAGAAGACAATGCTCTGTCTCGGCTCAATAATGACGTGTTAGCTCCAGAATATGAAGAGCTGTAATATCACCCCCATCATATGGGGGACGCCTATGGAAAGAAGATAGGGAAGGTGGTATTTGATGACGGTTGGTTACTGCGCCACCGTTAAACTCTGACGGTGATTTTTTTTTTTCTTTTTCGTACCCTCGTATAATAATAATAATAATAATAATAATACTCGGTTATAATGGTCAATTAAATTAAGGTAAAGGGTTGACAGCCATTACAAGGATCGAATTTGGGAGGGTGACCTGATTATATTATACGGAGTAGTGTGTTAGGTAGACGCTACATGCTGATTATGCTCCACCCAATTAGCCTTCTCCTTCACCGTCATGTATATACATTTGTTACCCCCTCCGTTTTACCACGTCTAACCCTAAAAGACATTGAAAACTTGGTGTTCAAGATTTACTTAAACAAAAGATAAATCAGGTGGATTATACCTTTCCTCATATGTTAAACATCATCTTATTATCATTTAGCATATTTATTACTTGGTCCGTCCCTGAGTGTTTGTCCACTTTTGACTTTTGGAACTGTTTATTTAAGCACTTTGACTTATCAAATTCTCTCAATGTGTAAGCCTAAAAATAGTTATGTGTGATCTTGTTTGATTCGTCTTAACATATAGATTATTAATATATAATTTTTATAATTTTTTAATATACAAATTACAAGATAAAATGGATTAAAGAAGTGCATTGGATAATGTGCAAAAATGAAAGTGGACAAACACTCAGGGACGGAGGGAGTATTAGGACTGATACAGAGAATCAATATTTAACTTCAGTTTATCTTAGAGGTGGGAAACTCCTTCAATCAGGATGATGAGTAGGTATCGACTCGAGCTAAAAAAAATCCAAAGAACCCCACAAAAACTTTATTGAAATTCATTGAATTGGAAAAAGGTTTGCAAAATATTGAACCATGCAAAATATTGAACCATACCAAACTAAATAATCGGTATGGTGTTAGGGAATCATGCATTCATGTGTGGGCTTTGTTCCCGTATCAAAGTTCTCATGCCAAATAAATACTACTCCCTCCGTCCAAGTTTAAACCTGTCGTTTTGGCTGGGTTTTAATGTAAAATAAAAAGTGTTTCAACTTTTCCAAAGTGCACTCACCTTTAATCAAAAAGCCTCACCCAAAAATCTTCAAAATCGATAAGCCCTCACCCTGAATCCAAAGCCTCACCCTCAATTCACACGCTTTGTCAATTTGCCGGAGACGAGGTCCAACGGGATTGAAGAGAAATTCTAGATCTATGAGGGGTGCGGTCATGAGCTACTATGACAGGTCGCCGAAGAAGAATAAAAAAGAAACATAGGGGGGTCTCAAGAAAAAATAAACGGAGGGCGGGAGAAGACTAACAAAACTCCAACCTAATTTGAATTCTCTAGTATGAAACGTGCTCTCATATTCTTGTAAATAATTGTCTTCTTCGCTCCCAATGTCTCTCGTCACAGAGACTCACTAGACCATACCATAAATAATTTCTTCGTTGTACCCAAAATTGAGTACAACTGGATGTATAATATAATTTGCTACTTAAAGGTATCTCAAGCTTTAAGTTTACAATCTCATTCAACAAAGAATGATCGATTACAATAACCACATCCAAAGGTACTCTCAAAAAGAGTGAATTGCTACCAATTAAAAATATTTGTAGAATATGGCAATATGAATAAATCTCAAAACCCAAGCAAAGAAATAGAATTCACAAAGAAGACCGTTTGCTTGAATCAAAATTAAGTTGAGGAGATTGAAGGCTTTAGAACTCCTGAATGTAAACAAAGAAGAAATAATAATGTATGATAGTGATTCTTGTTCTCAATAATTGTACCAAGGCTAGTTTATTTAGGAGAAGTCTCAAATTAAAGTTCAATAATTGTGACATGGCTACCAATTACGGTTTGACTACGAAGTACTGTAATAGTTATTGATTTTCTTCCCACATTTAATTTATTCTTCTAAAATCTAAAGTATATTTATTATAATTTATTTTTTGAAATGCATCCAAAAATTAGAACTTTTACCATTATTAATATTTTGTAGAATTTGAGCTAATTATTTAAAGTTTTGTATGTAAAGGAAAAAACTTATAGAACAGATGATATCATAAAATTTGAGTTTGTTTGGTTGGAGAAAACTAATTTCCTGAGATATATTTTAAGAGAACTTGATTTTTATGGAGAATTATTTTTCCCATATTTTTTTATTGATTTTAGGATGGAAAAGAGTACAAAATAGTCACTCCGTAGTATAACTACTTGAAGAATGAATATTTTCACATAAACTATTATGGGAGATTACATGTGTATATATACAAGAGTTTCCTAATGATAATAGGAAACAATATTAAATACACCCTATACAATTATGGTAGCTACCATATACATTAATATTAAATATAGTAAGAATATATTTAACATGCTCCCAATGCCACTAATGAAGATCGCCGCACGCCCAGACAATCTCGAAACTCGGAGAAGACCATGGAGGGTAGTCCCTTGTTGAAGATGTCAGCATACTGCAAGGAAGAAGGCACATGAAGTACTCGTATCTGACCAAGGGCTCCGATATCATGAAGAATGAATATTTTTACATAAATTATTATGGGAGATTACATGTGTATATATACAAGAGTTTCCTAATGATAATAGGAAACAATATTAAATACATCCTATACAATTATGGTAGCTACCAATATACATTAATATTAAATATAGTAAGAATATATTTAACATTACTTGAGTTGATAACAAACAAAATTTCAAATGTTATTCTTTCAGATACTTGTTCAAACACTACTAAACATACGAGTAATTTACTTAAACGAGACTAAAATATAATGATTTTCTTAATATAGGACCATATGTTTTTATTTCTCAATGTAGGACCATTGGTCATTATCGCTTAGTCATTATTCATCTAAATGTCCAGCATCACTTGGACATTATTCTTTTTGTCCACATTTGACTCTTGGAACTGTTCATCTAAGCACTTTGACTCACCAAATTTTCTCAATGTGTAAGCCTAAATATAGTCATGTGTGATCTTATTTGATTTGTCTTAACATATAGATTATTAATATATACTTTTTATAATTTTTTAATATTCAAATTACAAGATAAAATGGATTAAAGAAGTGCATTGAATGGTGTGTAAAAATAAAAGTGGACAAATACTCTGGGACGGAGAGAGTATGTTTTAGTCCTATTTGGTGCAAATTTCACTATACATAAATATAAATAAATAAATATTAAAAAGTAAAAAAATAATTATAATAAATATAAAATAAATAAATAAATAAATATTTTGTTCTTATATATTTATTTTAAATATTTGACAAACTAACATATTAATTTCATCATGGGTAGGTGGTCTTGGACCTATCAGACCCAAGCAAGAGCACAGAGTCCAAAAAATAAAGGGCCTAATTTTAAAAAAAAAATTAGTATTTCAACAAATATTCAAAATGATCAATATCTTAAGTAGTTAAATTATTGTTATTTTTCATATTTTACCTCAAATTATTGAAATAAATGAACCGGGACAGTCGCATCTTTAGTTAAACTGTAAGTTCATGGGGGTGCAGTGGAAATCACCAATTGAAAGCTACGCAAACAGATCAAATTAACAACTATGTTGTAGAGAAGATACTGCAGCGCTGTCACAGTATTAGATGGCAGATGTAGTGCTATAATATCTTCTCTGTCACAAGAACACACGCAAAATATAAAGAAAAAGCAGTAAACAGTACAAAAGAATTGTTTACGCAGTTCAGAGCAATTCTCCTACGTCTGCGCGGCCCACGTCCATGTAACAGCTCTTCCATTAAATCACTATAAGAATTACACAACCAATCACAAGAGATCCTTTTAATTTATTGATTTGTCTACTAACGAATGACTTGACGACAAACTCTGTTTGCGTCTATCTCCACAGCTTGTTACACCTTCTCAAAGATCATCTTCAAGGACGTAGATTCAAATACACCTTCAAACAATGATTCTGCCTTTCTCTACAAAACTTTGCAAGCTGATCCAAAGCTCATAAATCAACATTGAACCGTTGGAATTTGATCTACACCGTTCAGATTGAAGCTCCACAAGTCTTTAGACTCCTCCTAAAATTTCAGCACGACCAGACAAGATTTGGTACTCCGGGCATCGACAAAACCAGAGCTGCGGTTTTTACAAAAAACCAGCGACAATATGTAGATTGTAACTTCGATAACAGAAGATCCATAACCCTGATTGACGTAAAAATTTAACACGTTGAAGCTCTATGTGTTGGGAACATTCTTTGAGAATTTCAACAAAAACAAACGGACCGATCTGTGGCGATGATCAAATTCGTGCACGCTGTCGAGAAAATTCACACTATCAGAATGTGCACCTTGTTTTTCTTTTTTCCGGATTTACTTCAATTTTCTCATCTTTTTGAAACCAAAACCCTAAGAGAGGGCAAAGATAATATATGCAATAGAATAACCATGTTAGAATGTACTTAGGAGTCTCAACCATGGCTTCTGCCTCAAGAATAGTAAACCTAGTAGGATTAGAATTCTCTCTTTAAACTCCTTCCTCTTTCTCTTTATTCACATTCTAGGACTCTAAGTCTAAATAAAACATCTTAAATAATTCTTGGTAAATCTATTTGTTTGTCAAAAAATAAGGTCAACACAATATAAAACTAACAATCTCCCCCTTAGGAAATTTTTTGATAAAAATGAATCTCAGTTGTGTCGAACCTCTTCTCCCCCCCCCCCTTTTTTACATAAAAAATGCCAAAGGTTTTATTAAGAATAGAGAAGAGTAATATTCAAGCGAGCTTGAGCATTACAATAATGAATATCAAAATAGACCTAGACTTTGTCACATCAAACCGTGCCATATTGACGACTCCCCCTCGAACGATCCATCTGAAAAAGTAATAATGTGCAAAAATAAAAAGACATGTATACAACCAGCAAAAACATTTATGCTCTAAGGTATCCCATGCTGGAGATGAAACACCTCTTAGAGCATCCTCTAAATTAGTTAGAGATTGGTGTGCACAGACAC